TACCCAACTACATTTCGTTTATTTAAATCGTCAACATATACTATATTACATTCAATGTTTATCTAAATCATCAACATATATTACATTACATTTAAATTAATGTTTATTTAAATCAATATATATCACAAACACGCTGACTGAAACCGATGAACAGAAGTGCCAGGATGGAATCATCTAACTTTGGTTAAGGGAACTCAGGACTTGGTTAAACGAACTTGTTGAAGCAAGGTTGCTTTCATCTCGTCTGTTTTCGTCGACGAACACCGGAAGGAGTATACAGCTAATTACTACTCACAGGTTGTGTCGTAAGGTGCCTTTTCAATGGACATGTTCAGATAAAGAATCTTCAAATACCAGATTAATATAAAAATAACCACTTAATAAAACCAATAACCGGTATTAAATAATTGTAAAATGAACTGCGAACGTTTTCGGTTCCTTCCCTAGGACCTTTCTCAAGCAGCGATTCGTCTTTAGAATAACTATGAATGAAGACCAGTAAATAGCGATATTCGAAAAATTATTCTACCGAACAACATTTCAAAAGTCAAAATGTTGTTCGGAAGAATAATTTTTCGAATATCGCTATTTACTGGTCTTCGTTCATAGTTATTCTAAAGACGAATCGCTGCTTGAGAAAGGTCCTAGGGAAGGAACCGAAAATGTTCGCAGTTCATTTTACGATTATTTAATACCGGTTATTGGTTTTATTAAGTGGTTTTTGGACATGTTCAGGATTAATTGAATATTTGCACTCTAATTGATTTTGTGTGTGTGTGAAACCTACATTGTAATTTGTAGCTCTTGTTAACATTGTAAGTTTATGTAAATTTTATTTGTTGTTATAAATGTTTTGTGAACTGTGATTTTTAAATTTGACTAGAAGGAACACATGGTCATGGTGGTAACGCTGCGAACTAATGTAACATCATATGGTGAGATTTTGTTCATATTGTGGAGCAAAAATATGTTCGAATTTCATGTTGTATCCTGAAAATTTCATATGCTGCGATGTTCATATCCTGAGGTACCACTATATGTCAAAAAAATGCCTTAGTTTATGACAAATTTAAAAAAAAAATGGTTGTGAAATCTAATGACATTTTTTAAGTTTAGCTTTTCTAAAATAGTAATAATAAAAAAAATTAGTAAAAAATGTTTTAAATAAACTACAGTCACAAAAACAAAACAACCAGCAGAAATGGTTAAAACTCACATTAGTGAACATTTTCCTTCATGTTAAATAGACATCTTCAGGCTCTTAACTTTAATATCCAAACTGCACAAGATTGAAAGCACAAGATGAAAACTATCACAGTACAAGCCATACAACATGGCTACTCAAGCATCATCAGTAGAGGCCTTAACAAACACTACAATTCTGACATATCCAGCATTTCACACAATCTCTCCAAACTATATACAAGGCTGTCTTATATCTTAGGATACTTGCACCTCTGTACACGGACATAGCCAGACTCAATAATTTCTTGCTGGTTTACAAAAGGAGCCTAATGATACACTCTCTCCTCAGCAATGCTAAAGGTGAACCCAACTGACAGCACTTATTGGGGTCACTTACAGATCACCAACTTAACAGAGCATTAGAATATGTGACCACAAAATGACACATCACTACCTGTATAAAGGAGCATATATAGTTCTATAAATAGGGGCTTAAACACCATTGCCTTGGCCATCTATGCCAGTGACTCTAAAACTGAAATACATTTTGACAGTACCAAAATTCTACACTACACAGATAATAGCCCCCTTGACTCAGACTTTTAGAGCTGTTAGAAATTTATAAAGCTGTTTTGAGAGCTGCAGCCATTAGCTTCAAAGATGTAATTTGTTTCCATTAGCATCTTGCAGTCTAAGAAACCATCGAGGCAGCCAGTCCATCAATCAACAAGTCTCATATTTTGAATTAAGGAATTCAATCTTGTGCCATTCAAATATAAAAGTCAAGAGCCTGAAGATGTCCATTTAACATGGAGGAAAGCATTCACTAATGTGAGTTTTTACCATTTCTGCTGGTTTTTTAGTTTTTTTGATGGTAATCTATTTAAAGTTATCTAGTTTTTAGCAGTTGTTATTTGTAAAAAAGGTTTTAATTTAGTGATAATTATGCAAATTAATTCTTACACTTAGATTATAAGAAACTTTATTCAAGTCACTTCCATAGTTGGCATAAATTATTAATATAAATAAAAAACACTTTCACATTTTAAAATTTTCCTTTAACAATCTATCAATCTTTCTACAATTAAGATTTAATACATGATTTATAAAAACAGTTTAATTAAGATGGAAAATTGTAATATTTTTTGTAAGATCATCTTTTTGTTATTTCATTTATTTGTCAAATATCAATACAAATAAATACAATCAATAGGATATAAAAATATGACCAACATTAATAGAGTTAATCATGATAATTTTTATTTTATATTATTTCATGATTTGTCAGGAATATCAATTGTTAAAATATTTAAGTCTATGGTAAAAAATTTTTAAAGATTGCCAGAATTTGATTTGAGATTTATGTAAAACAGAATTCGTTTTTTGAGAAAAACCCTTGGTTATAAGAAACTAAGCTACAAACATATTTACTTGAATGTAAGATGCACTTTTTTTCAGATTATAATGTCTGCAAAAATAGGATGTGTTTTAGATTTGATATAAAATGTCATAATTAGCAGCTTCTACTGCCACATATCTTATTTCAGTCACTAATTCCATTGAGTTATTTTAATGATTTTAATTTGTAATAGTAAATATTTGAGAGGTCAACTTAGCTCAATTTCGTAAATTAAACTTCACTTTGACACCGGGGATGAAATACTAAACACGGAACCTGTTACCGGTGTAATTTTGCGTGAAAAAATCCTCTTTTCACAAACGTTTGAGCTTTGCATATAGCCCTTCTTCAGGTAGAGAAAAATTCCGATGGAATACTTCGAACAATGGAACGTAAAAAACCTAATCTAAAAATAGAACGAAGATGTTTAAACAAAAAATACGAAACTCGCATAACGAACGATCATTAAGATGGTCATGCGCATTCGTGCGCTGATGTTGCTATTTATAGATCGTTGTTTATGAGGGCCTGCCACGCTATAGAAAGATTAATCTCATCCTTCCGATTTATACATGTGGTCAGGTGGTTAGCCTTACAGATGGATATAGCTTCCCACCATTTTAGATGTTCCAGGTGGGGCATAGTGTCGATGATGTCAGCTTTGTCGAACTCCGGTTCTATATCGGGATTGGATGCAAAGGTGGTTAGGGCCGTGGTGTACGTTCATCCTGGTCAGTGTTGGTCTTCGTACGCGTAGTGGGTGCGTGTTGTGAGCGTTGATGTCACTCAATTAGACGGTGTGTTAGACCATGGTAACTGTGCTTGGCTGCTATCCTCTTGATATAATTCAATTTGGTGTTGAGGGCTTACGTGGTGGACCTCTATACACATACCAGTTGGTTCATTCGACCCATTCACCTACAAGGCTGCAGCATTTAATACTTTGATTAAAAGGGCCTTTTCCCACTCGTCCACCACACAAGCCCTCAACACCGAATTGAATTATATCAAGAGGATAGCAGCCAAGCACGGTTACCACGGTCTAACACACCGTCTAATTGAGCGACATCAACGCTCACAGCACGCACCCACTACGCGTATGAAGACCAACATTGACCAGGATGAACGTGCATGCCTCCCAGTCACCTATAACCCATATGTTAAAGCGATATACGCTGAGATCGCCGGAAAACAACAATTACAAATAGCCTATAGAAGATGCCCAACAATCTATGACATCCTCAGAAATGGAAAAGGCAGTCCAGCTCGTAGCAGGCTTCCTGGCGTGTACTCTATCCCGCTGAAAGATAACAGGTGTAACGAGAGCCTTGTCTATATCAGCTCAACCAAGCGATCTTTAAACACCAGAGTACAAGAGCATCAAGCAGACCTTCGGCATGGGCGGTACACCACGGCTCTAACCACCTTTGCATCCGATCCCGATATAGAACCGGAGTTCGACAAAGCTGACATCATCGACACTACGCCCCACCTGGAACATCTAAAATGGCGGGAAGCTATATCCATCTGTAAGGCTAACCACCTGACCACATGTATAAATCGGAAGGATGAGATTAATCTTTCTATAGCGTGGCAGGCCCTCATAAACAACAATCTATAAATAGCAACATCAGTGCACGAATGCGCATGACCATCTTAATGATCGTTCGTTATGCGAGTTTCGTATTTTTTGTTTAAACATCTTCATTCTATTTTTAGATTAGGTTTTTTACGTTCCATTGTTCGAAGTATTCCATCGGAATTTTTCTCTACCTGAAGAAGGGCTATATGCAAAGCTCGAAAACGTTTGTGAAAAGAGGATTTTTTCACGCAAAATTACACCGGTAACAGGTTCCGTGTTTAGTTAACTCAGTTTTATTAGTTTATTACAGTAATGCTATAAGTACTTAATTGCAAATCCCAGAAAAAGCTGTGCAATAGTCTTTCAACAAATGCTTCCTTTCCAATGCATTAAACATCACTGAGGATGATTGTGTGTGGGAAGATGTGAGCATTGAATCCAGTGTAGATCTTAACATGAAAGGAAGTTTCCAACTTTAACACCAGAGAAGATATATAACTTATTTTATTTGAAATAAATGCTCAACAAAATTTATTTCAACATAATAAGTTCTGTTGACATAAATTTGTCTTGAGTTCTCTATTTAAAAAAAAACCTCACTGGTGTGAATGTAAAAATTAAAATGCATTTTAGATTCAATGGTGTATTACATTTGACTAAATATGGTAAATTAAGACAACTATTGAGGTAAATTTCAATCTTCTAAATGCTTTTAAAAATACTAAATTCTATCAATCACTAACATGAAACAGATTTTATCATCCAAAAGAGAATTAATTTGCAAAAAATCTAAAAATTACTATAAATAAAAATAATATTTTAGAAAAATCTTACCATGCAAAATCTATTCTGCTCCCTCTTCCAGTTAATACATAATATAATCCTAAAAAGAAAATTTAATATAAATTCATATTTTTCTCATTTGTAATAAATATTCTTATAAAACTCTCTTTTTACCGATTTTCAAGGAGACTTAATTAAAAACTATAGACTACAACTTTCTTTTAACAAGGAACAAGCTTTATTTATTAAATAAAAACTTAGGATATATTCTCATTATTGCCTTTTTTAGAAGTTTAGAGGTTTTTAACTTTTACCTTTATTAAATATACAACTTTTTTACCTTATACACTAGAATTAACTTTCTGATTGAAAAAATTCATCTTTCTAACTGAAAAGGATCTCTCTTTCCAATGTTAGTACATTGGAAAGAATCCCAAATTAAAAATGAGGCATTACAGCAATCAAAACTTTAATCTTACTTTAAATGACAGTCTGTCAGACATTAGAATTAAACTTTCAAACAGATACAGTGAGTGATCAGTTAACAAACATAATCCGTTCCAAGTCTTTGTTTGCTATCCGAATTGTTCGTTAACTGATTATCGATTTACCATACGGTTTTATGGGAATTTGATTAATTTGTTCTGGAGACCCCAAAAAATCAAAAATACATAATTTCTTACTATGTTTATTTATATGTAATAATAAAAATACACATATACACACTCTTGCATTTTTATTAGTCATGTTTTTTCCATTTGCGGGGTTAAAGAATCTGTCTTATATCGATTGCTTTTCTCTCTCCAGGATTTTTCAGAAGTAATTAATAGCATTGTCACTGTGGAGATCCCTAAGCCTATTAACCTCAACTTGGTTTGGATGCCATTCTAAAACCATTGTTCTGACATCCTCCCAATTCTTCAAAAGATGCTTAATAGCAGATGTTGGCATTAATCCTGTTTTTCAGAAGAAAACATATCTCACGGAGTTTCTAGGTGTTTTTCATTCCAGAAATCTTCACATTCTTCTGTAATCAAATCCATTTCAGGTTCCATTATGAGCTCTTCAATGTTCTTTATTTTTCAGATGTGATTTTTGTTACTCCTTAAGCTGCATGAGTCTTCTTGATTATACTGTACCTTTCTTAGATAACATTGAACTGCAGCCTACTGTAGACCTGTTCAAGCCATACTGCCCAGCAACATCAGACTTCTTCTGCCTACTCTCTACCTTTGCTATTATACTCTCACCTTTCAAAAATAAAAACTGATGCAAAACTTAATGAGTGCCCATCCGACAGTCCCGCGAATACTATAAAAGAATTGTTTCTCTCAGAAAAATAAAAGGCAGGAATTACAAGAGAGTTCTGAAGTTTGGAGGAATACTATTCAATCAGTATATACCGGGTTGAGCATTGAGTTGACGTCTCCCATGCCCCAAAAAGTTTCGAATTGTTGCCTGAAGACAAGGGAAGACCAAGTGGTATTTCATTATTTTACGTCGCTTCCTCTTGTGTTTGTTCTGTGAGGAGTTCATTGTCAAACATAAAAATCTTTTGAGAAAGTGTTTGTTATCTGATTTGTTTGTTAACCAAACTGTTCATTAACCGATCATCCACTATATATTCAATTACAGAATTAGTTTAATCAAAATACTAAAATAATAAAAGTGCAACTGTTTCTATAAAACGTCAAGTACAAAAAGTATTCATTGAAAGAGAAAAAGATTAGAATGTGCAAATATTGCAATATATGATTCATAATTGGATATATGACATATTATCAAAGTGAAGATAACTTTAACTTCTGCTGTTGAAATAACAAAAATATTTAACATAACTGATCTGATCTATTGTCTTCTGCTTTATTGGATGTTTAGACAGACTAATGTTCGGAGAGACATATTTTTAGTAATAATTGGTATAATTACCTAATCAACAATATAAAAAAATATCAAAATGAATTCTAAATAAGAATTTTACCTCAAAAATTGCATTATAATAAGTGATATATATTTATACAGTGATACCCCAAACTTACACAATAGGTGGGACCGAACTTATGCTCGGTCCCACCTATCGCGTAAGTCAGGGTATAATTTTGCAATTTGTGTAAAATCCAAGCCGGATGTATATAAGCTAATAAATGTTCTCATTAATCTTATCTGATATTTTGATTCATTCACGGTTACAAGAAATCACCACATAAAGTCTTTCAAGTCTCCATAGATATAACAAACACAAATAAATAACACAAAATAAATTGTAGCTATGTGCAATTCCGCACGACACGTCCAAACATGTAAGCTGAACAATAGGGTGGGGGGAGTGAGTAATCAAGAGTTGTGTGCCACTCAAACAAAAGACGAATTGACAAGATTTGAAAATTGCGTAACTCCAAGTTCGCATAAGTTGGGGTAGTGTAAGTCAAAGTATTAATGTATACAGTAATTTCTGGTTATTATGTTTTTAGTATTAGTAAAAATAATTGTTAACTTTTTCATTACTGTTTGAAAGTTATAAAGTATTAATAATAATAATGTTAATAAATTTATATTATATCTAATTTAATCTGAATATCTTAATACCAGATACTAGTTAATCATGAGATAACAAATCATAGAAAATTAATTTGATTCAGTTTTAATAAATTTTTTTTAAATTTCAAAACACATTTAACTTTTTCTTAATTTTTGTTAAAAAATAAATCATATATATTTAATGAATCCAAAAACATTCAATAAATTAAAACTATTTAAAGTGTGATAGATGTAAATAAAAGCAAAACCAAATTAACTGGATATATCAAAATTCTATGTAATAAATTACATCAATTTGAAATACAGATTAACCTCAAAAATGTTTTAAATCAATTTTTGGTATTCATATTTACAATATAGAATTATAGTTCAGGTATCCCTAATACAACACGGTTTCAGTCTAATATGGTTCAAGAATTTGGAAAATCCTCTGCACTAAATTGCACAATTTTTAAGTATAAGCTTTGTTATTCTATATTTTTTTTTCTTTGCTCTTGTTTAACTAAAATTAATATTAATGCATAATACAGCACTTTTAATTGCAATTTTTAGTTAATTACAAATTGGAAATAAATTTTTGATTGTATTAAATAAATGTACTTCTCTTAGTAACAAAAAACAATAGTATAATTAGGTTCCATTAGGTTCCAGATGTTAACCTATTGTTAACATTTGGAACCTAATGTAACCTAACTCTATGTTTTTTATTAGTTCTTTGTTTCGTACAGCATGGATTCGAGTGGCACAGCACTTTTTTGCAACATTACTACTGTGTTACACAAGGGATACCTGTATTTATTTTTTTTATGATTATATAAATACATGAGATAAATAAATAAATGAGAGCCTTATGGGAAGTAGGACGTGGGCACTGAATGTGTCCCCAGCCGGCGTTGTAATAACCGTCGATGGTTAAGTAGTTAGCTTATATACGCTGGAAGAAGAGATCGGATCGGAGGTCCGGGTAACGTAACTGGGTCAAGGGTCCCATACCTGTCAGATTATCAAGGGACAACTGTATATATATTTAGCAAACAATTTTGACTTCTACATTTTAAAATGTATTACTACTAATTCATAATTTTTGTAGGACAAACAATTTTAAAAGATTCTAAAAATTTAATATATGTACATTAGTTTGTTATAGCAGAATATATACAGTAGAACCTCGATTATCCGGACTAATTGGGGATAAAGGTAGTCCGGATAAGGAAAAATTTGGATAATCAAAACAAATACTTTAATTTGTCTTTTAATGATAATACAAGACGTTTTCTTTTCGATGACATATTGGTAATATTAAAAATAAGTACTGTATTTAAATCGTGATCAAATTTTCAAGAAACAAATGTTCGTATTGAATTTGTACTACTACTGACCAGCGCAAACAGATTACCTATTGTTTAAAAGGCCCTCTGGTGGCGCAATAAGACGGATTTTATAAAATAAAAAGCAGTTGAAATTGCATTTTTATGAATAAAAATTTGACAAACTATTTATTGTTTTATGACAAGTAAAATTTTTTCGTCGCGTTCGCGGCTTTTAAGTAATGCATAAACCTTCGAGGCACGAGGCCCTTTGGACCGCGAGGCATAGGCCATGGCCCACGTCGTCCATGCCTTACGTCGCCTTTGGTCATAGAAATGATGTAATTTGAATATAAATTATTTATAAATACATATGTCAAGTTATATTTTTATTACGACGTAAAATATATTTAAGAGTTTACGACCACTGTGCTTGGTGAGATGTTATTGAAACAAAAAAGTTATGCATTCCATCATGTACATAAACAGTGTTGTAATTCACCAAGTGCAAATCAGCAAATTTGTAAAATTTTTGTTTATTTTGAACAATCCGGATAATCGAAAATCCAGATAATAGAGGTCTGAATAATCGAGGTTCTACTGTATTTAATTTTTAGAATACTTAAGTATAATATGAACTATAGTTAAGTATTAATTGTGAAATCTTTTCATATTAAACAACAGAGAGAGACAATTGTTCTAGAAATAATAATTTAGCAAACTGAATAAAAGTGGTGGACAGATTATTTTGAAAAATAAAATTAGATAAAAAGTTAAATATCTGATAGGTCATATGAGATTTGGATTTTTATTGAAGCAAATGAATTTAGAATTAACTATTTTTCAAGTTGATCTAACAATCTAACAACTTAAGTAAATTACATATTGTCCTTTTTAATATTGTTGATAGAAATCTCTATTTGAAATATCTTTTTAGTCCAACATCTGTTTCTACATAGTTAAATGTGATAACCACAACTATGACAATTATCTGATTGGATGAAACATAACATCTTCAATTTTCAAATTCTATTCCATCTTCTGTTTTGTTTTCCATTCTATTTAAACCTGAGGACATTTTAAATAATGTTGAAAACATTTGTTTTATTACAGGAAAATGAATTTTGAGGGATTTTAGTGGTTTCTGTGTTATTTTGTATTATACTCAATTCTAAGTTAATTGTGTTTGACCAAGCTATACCATTCAAAGCATAAAAATAATCATTGCTAGGTAAAATAAATATATTTTATCAAATTTTGTCAATTAAACAAAAAAGTTTGGAAAACTTTTTAGCACTTTTAAACTTATGCTCACTAACATAAATAAAACATTGTCATTCATTTTATTTGTTTCTGACAATGAGCAAAACTCATAAGTTTGAAAACACTTGTTTTTGTTAAACTATTTCCATTTTCCACATACTGTACTAAGTTTTTCTTTAAACTCATCATGGACCTACAACACAAGCAGCATGGTGGTGAAGGATGGGCTGATAGCAGGTCAAACCACTTAAAATTTTTTTTTTATGGATTATAATCAAATCCAGGACCTAAGCAACAAGCTAACACTTTGTCATACATTATATTCTAATCTTTTTAAACTAATTGCTATAATGTGTTTTTCTTAAGTTTTATGTTAGTTATCTCCAAAGATAACCCACTTCAAAATATTGAACATATCATGTACTCAAATGACTGCAGGTAAAACAATATTTGCATGAAAAATTTTATACCATTCAAATTCTAATTTATGATTCTAATTTTGATTATTATATATGTGAATTTTAATAAAACTCACATATATAATAATCATGAAAATTAGAATTAAATATTTTTTAAAATGTTTGATAGAAAATATGATTTTTTAAAGCTGTAAAATTACATAAATTGTAACATATTAAATACTTGTTGCATAATAAGGATCACATTACATTTTCTAATCTTCATAATTACCTCATATAAATATAATGCATAAGATTATTGATATTACGTTTATAAGCGTAATAATTAAGATGATTTTGTTAAAATAAGTCAGAGAAATAATGGATTAATGAAAATTTTGCTTTGATTTCTATCTTTATAATATACTCTCGTCTAGTCACAAGACTTGCTACAACCCACTTCAAGCAAATAAACAAATTGAATATTTTAAGTAAAAATCATTAGATTTAACTTACCAACAAATACAATTATGCTTAAAGTTATTGAATATACAACATATTGAGTTTTTGCTAATAAACCACTACCCATTATTAAAATTTTCGAAAAATTAAATACCAACAGTCCACTGCAAAATATTGTCGTTGCGAAACGACCTCAAGTGGATAAATAAATTTTGCTGATAATTGTTTTTATTTTAATTTTAATAATAATTATTAAAATATTATATTACGACTGATTAATTAATTATAAATAAAAGGAAATAACATTATTATCTATTAATTAATCAAAATACAATTTATATCTTATTTAAATTTTTTTTTTAACTTTACTGGCAATAAGAGGGCTTTTTTCTTCATATCTATTATCATATACGGCCGCTCTATTGTCGATCTGGCAGAACCCACGTGGGCTTGATTAAGGGGTTATGTCCGCAGGACAGAGTAAAAACAAACCATTCGAACCGCCCTGATTATAAGCCTGTCCGAATTTGTGATGTCTATAAAAAAGGCTCCTGGATATAGAAAAAGTACCAAAGGACGGAATGGGTTTCGTATTGTCCATAAATGATGTCATGCCCCAAGGGGGTAGTTTAAGAAATGTGACTATTCGTGACAAGGGCGGGGAAGGGGTTTAAGAGTAGAGTGATGTCACTGTTTACTAAATATACAATTTGGGTTATAGGTAGATCTTGTATAATGAAATCGCGAATGCATTGCTCTTTTATTCTACAATTCTTGTTTGTTTATTTGTTTTATTAAGTTATGGCAACGCGACACTTGGGCGATCTGCCTTGAGGGGATGCCTTCCGGGAAGTCTTTTAACGGTAACCGGCCCCTATTTAGGCGTTACAGACGTGGATAAAACCCGGAAAATTCCACGTAGCCAGCCCGTCCTGGGGAGGCGCGCGAACCCACGACCGAACTCCCAGCGTTCAGGACACTGAACTTTGCATGGGAAGAAAATGTCAAAGCGGTATAGGAGAAAATTTGATCAGCACGACAAGTTGTACATAAAATATCTTATTCCATAATTTCCCTACCGTTTCAACAAAATAGTAGAATGAGCTCATGATGAAGCTCGTACAGTACGTGACTCTACCAAAGACGTTGAATGGATAGACGAAGAATTTATTGACATAGAAAATCTCTCCGAAAGTGTTCGTACAGAAACCGAAGTTGCACTTCTTGGTATAGTTTTAATAAAAACACTTAACAATATCATGGGAGTGAAAAAATTTTGGAGCAAGCTGCTTGATATTTACACTGTAAATAAAACTTAAAGTGAATTTTACTTCTGGTTGTGGTACTGTTTTTTTACTCGGACGTGACCTTCTCTTAAAGAGTCAGATCAACCATTCGAGAAAATATTTCTCAGCTTATTCGACTTTTTGGACAACAGCGAGATTTGCATTGACACAATAACTCTCGCAATATAAGATCCATGGAAATATTACATGACAGTTTATTTTGGGTCACTGATAAACCGATGCGCAAAATCTTGATTTTTATCCCAACCTTCATAACTGGAAACTTTTAAACTCTTAAATCCGTATTTTTTCCACCGACCGATTCGAGTTCCGCCGTATTATATTATTTTACTGTTGTATCCAATGTACTGTTTTTCTTAGGAATAATTTCCAATAAAAAATAATTTTTATAAAATGTTACGTAGCTTGTGTCTAGAGTTAGACCCAAGTCCTACAGTGCAGCAAGGATATGAATCATTGTTTAATCATCATCTAAGTTCTTGTACAGTGTCATCAGTTTCCATTTCCACTGTGTGAATCTAGTAGCGGAACCTCTATACTCGTCATTAATTTGTTCCTAAGGATCTAACGAATATGGAAAATGACGAAACAATTTTTCTCATAATAAATAACTGATATTCAATTGATCCGTTCCCACCTAAAAAAAATACAATAAAGTTTATTCAGTGTACTTCGTTGGAGCCATTGGAACTCGAGTTTTTGAAAATAATCAAAGCGAGAAACCAAGAACACACACACAACGACCGCACAAAGCAGACTACGTGCGACTAAATATCCAGATGGCACAACGCGCTGATTGGTCAGCTGAATGATGTCAACCTACGAAAATCGGTAATGTTGATTGATTAGCCGAAACTTCGTGTTGTTGTTGTTGTTGTTGTGAGAGCGTACAGACATTATATAATAGTTATAGATATTTCATCTAAAACTTGATAAAAGGCACTTATTTATAATTTCACTATCACTCGTGTGTATTGACAATAATTGAAAATTTTGCATTAATTTTAACATAAAATTACGTGATATCGAAAATTTTAATGCTGAGACATTTTTAAACATCAAGAAGTAACTTTTATCTGTTTTGAATTTTTGTAAGCTTTTTTGTACATTTACTATAACAATAAAATAATCAAAAACAACAAATGTAAACTGCAAATTAAGTTTTTTTTTAACATTATTAGACAATAGTATTTTTTACCTTACAGAAACTTGTATTTAATGTTTTATATATATATTACAACAGAATATACTAAGTAAAAATGCAGATTAGTTAACAATTTATTTGTTTCATCTAACTATATTACATATGACAAATTCAAAAAATATTCTGACTTGTCTTAATTATAAATTTCATCCTTTCTCGAACTTTTTATGAATAATATCTGTAACAAAGTATAAATTTTCTGTTATTTACTATCCGTGCATGTAAATTTATAACACTGATCGCACTATTAAAATGATCTATTGTGTATGATTTGGTTCAGAGGTGCATAAAGATCAAGTATGAAGTTAAATGTTCAAAAATATAAATAATCAGTTGTATTTTCTCTTTATACTCATTCCATATTACGACAACTAAAAATTAATAATTTATTTCGTCATGATACGTTCTGACGACCATAAAACATAATCTATATTTCGGTGACCAATCAGCGCTTTGTGCCATCTGGATATTTAGTCGCACGTAGCAGACTAACTACACCAGAGTCGGTAGATTAATCTATCGATTCTGACTACACCTAGCTGACAATGTTGCCAATGCAAAATTCGAATTTATAGCTAGACATTTTAATAAAAATATTCAAATCATTTTGTTTCCATTAAAATTGTTTGATTTTTTTATAGTTAGATAGCATTATAAGAATAGCTAGGCCAAGGGTGTCCAATCTTTTTGTTTCTCTGGGCCACATTGCAAGATATCATGGAGTTTGGGCCACAAGTAAATTATATATACTTGTGGCCCAATCCTTAAATTTATTTGTATATTTAAGGATTAACATGTGTAGATTATAGTAATAAGTATTAAATCTTTATTAGGAAAAAGGATATTTTAAAAAATTACTTCTACAGACACTTTCAATTTTTACTTAAAAATAGATAAATTCTTTTATTATAAAGGAGACAAACAAAAATTTATTTGAAAACACAAATATTTGTTTCATTTGGGTCTCTAATTAATAAAAAATGTCAAAACACCATTTTAAAGTGAATTTTTATTCGTCTAATAAATTTATAAATAATATATAACCCAAAAAGTAGCCAATGCGCCAAACTAAAAAAAGGATAGCCAACTTTGGCGCAAAGTAGCTAAATCATGCAACGCTAGACGAAATGTTAAATAAACTGGAATTGGGACTGAACGGATTATAGACTTAAATATGTCGCGGCTGGATGGCCGAACGGTCAAGGTGGCAGTCTACTGCTCTGGGGGACCAGGGCTCGAATCCGAACGGGTCGAAAAATCCCCAGAAATTTTTCGGGGGTGGTCCGTTCGGATATGTCGGGCCCCGTCCTTCACCACTCGGCAGCCCCATCGTAGGCCTGGCCGAACCCATAATGGGCTTGCAAAAAAGAGGCCCTCTTAGTGCCCACAGGGCGGAAAGAGTTTTAAAAAAAGACCCAAACGTGGGAAAAGGAGAGAAAGGACAAAAGATAAAGAAGTGAAGAAGGTTGGAAAATTAAGGGTCCATATTTGCATAACAAAGTCATTTAATCCTTCTCATTACTATTTATCTTTTGGCCTTTCTCTCCTTTCTCCCCCGAATTTGGGTTTATAATCCTTTGAGTCTCAACTTTAGCTTTATTTAGTATTCCTTCCTCATTCACATATTTCCAAGTACAGTATTTGAAAATATTTCCTTTCCACTCAAAAATAAAATATGTATAAAGGTTTACGGCTTTGTAAAACTTCTTTTTTTGAATTTAGACCGTTTAAATAAATAAAATAAAATGAAAAACTTCATCGGTTTTGTTTACACGTTTATTGGGCCGCATGGGGCCCGTGGGTTAGATCCCCCGAGCTAGGCCATTATAATTTACATAACTAGATTGTTCATAAATCCACTAAATCTAGCAAAATATTAGCTAAATTGGTAAAACTAAGCTAACACGGCTAGCTTAGTCGGCGCGGGTGCGCGATTGTAGAGTCACTGCAGGTATTGGGAATGACAACGAATCCAGAAAATACTGACGAATATCGACGTTACACTGTATACTTTTTTTTATGAATTTGAAATTCTTAATTATTTGAATACATTTCAAATTATTGAAATTACATGGAATAAAAATATAAATAAAGTTTTTGTAAACTGAAAAACTATTTTAATATTTAATCTTGAATTTAATTTGTGTATCTAATAGAAAATCGGTTAAGTGCATATATATTAGTAAAATACACATTTTTTACGAACTTTATAATAATAATGCCCAACTTAATACCAGTGGCGTGCCGTCATTGGAAGCGGCGCATCCACCGCTTCCCTTGTATTTTCTAAAAAATAAATACATATTAATTTTAATTATATAAAAATAATCGCACAATATTTTATTATAACCGCATTACGTATCTTATTACAAATTTCTATACTACACGTGAAAAAAAAGATAAGATCGCCATTGCATATTCGAATATTGGTGGCGGAATGGAAGCGCTGTATCGTCAGCATCCAAAAAACCAGATTCGCGCATGCGCTTTAGAGAGCACCAACCTGACCCGGTTTAGCCAGTGGAAGCCTAGGACCTTGGGTGGCTGCTACACGTAAAACACATCCAATTCTATCCAGGACCGGTTCCGGGCTGTTAGCTGCCTGCCCGCTAGATATTTGGCCGCCCTCGCCCGATTACGTGAATCACGAGTAGATTTATAACTTAACTCAACCGATAAGAATTTACTGGT